CATTAAAGAGATTTTGAAAACTTGAAAAATAGCATTTCTCACTAAGGATTTTGTGTCAAGGTGATATATATATATATATAAATAATATATCTCCATGTTACGGGTTGTAGGCTCCCCCCTCAAATATAATATGTTGAATTCCTAACATCAGCCTGTTAGTGTGTAATCTTACTTGGTGATAGAATCTTTACAAAAGACGCTAGAGGTCTTAGTAGGTCAAAATAATGTTATTAGGGTAGACTCTAATTCAATATGACTGATATCCTTATAAAAAGGAAAAATTTGGAGAAAGACACACACGCACATTTAGAAAGTGGTGTGAAAATGTAGGCAGAAATTGACAATGATGCTTCTAAAGCCAAGAACCAGGAAAGATTGCCTAATCGCCACATCTATGAGAGGGTCATGGAACAGATTCTTCCTCATCACCCTTGAAAGAAACCAACCCTGTTCTTACCTGCTGTGTTAAACTATGTGATATTGTCCCACTAATCTGCAATTTTTAAATCTTTCATTTTTATTCTCACTTCTACTGACCCATTTATATCAACAATTTTTTTTCAAGTTGGTTCTTTATATGTATCAATTTCTCTTCTGAGATTCCCCTTGCACTCTCCTGTTTATCTTTTCTTATTCATAATAGTAGTGTCAAACACTTTGTTAATTTCATCATTTGACTAATCTGTGAATTTGCTCAGTTTTTTAATCTTGTATGAGTCATATTTCTCTGCCTTTTGCATGTTCTATTGGTCACTGTAAATGATGATGCTTTGAAAAGATTCTGAACTCTGTTATCTTCCTCTAAAGAGTCTTGAGCAATATTCACGTAGACGGTTAAATTGCTCACCTTAATCCTGTGGAAGCATCATTATAGGCTTTTAAAAATAAGTCTATTTTAGTTTTTCCTTTAGTCCTGAGGTATGGCCCTCTGTCTTGGGCTATAATCTTTACCCCTTAGGAATGAACATTGGTGGTTCCAATGGAAAGTGTATTTAACAAGTCCATTGGTGAGATTTGAATGTCAAGTTCTATTTAAATCTCTACTCTTCTTTTTTTAAGGTCCAATCAATGCTTTCCCTTGGGTTCCTTGGAGTCTTGTACAATTAGGAGCCACACAGGATTTTAGTAGCTTCTGGATTTTCCCTCTCAATTTAGAACAACTCTGGAAGCTCTAAACTGTTCTCTGTATCTTCAACCTATTCAGATTATTGCTTTTTGCTTGAGATCTATTCCTTGTGCAAATTTGTAATAATTCTTTCTCATCCTCTGCCCCCTCCCCTTCTTCCTTTCCAACCCCTTCCTCCTTCTTTTTCACTGAGGATTGAACCCAAGTGGGGGGCTTTATTACTGAGCTACACCCAGTCCTTTTTATTGTTTTGAGACAGGGTCTCTCTAAGCCTACATAAGTTGGTCTACATAAGTTGCTAAGACTGCCCTCAAACCATGACCAGCTCAAGCCTGGAATTCTTACTGGCAAAAATTAATTTACTTGCTGACACAAGTTAATTTGCAATTATTGAAAGAAGTATTGAGAAGATTTTTATAGGTTGAGAATCCATATATTTAATGTAATAAGACATCATTTTGGGAGGACATGCTTGCACGTGATTGAATTACCTCCCAGGCTGGACGAAAGATGATCTTTGTGTTAAGAGCTTCCCCCACCCTTCTCGGGTCAAGGGCTTGTCTATATGGAGGCGTGCCTGACCACAGCCCCTGAAGACCCAATCATCTCACCTGACCTTAGGACACTGCCTCCTTAATCTTTATTGAATGGGATTTTCCCCAGAATTTTTTTTTGTTCCCCAATAAAAGTCCACTCCCTGGCATTTTCTCTCTCTCTCTCTCTCTCTCTCTCTCTCTCTCTCTCTCTCTCTCTCTCTCTCTCTCTCTCTCTCTCTCTCTCTCTCCTCTTCAGTAAACCTCGATACTTTAATGGGTAGCTAGAGGCTGGAGGTATGAGAAGCCAGAAGCCGTCCTGGAACTGGTTTAAAGGTAATTAGAGTCTGTCTCTTTAATTTAACTCCCTTAGGATATCCCACATATAAAGTTTGTGCTGGTCATGGGCTAAAATCATTATTATATTTTGGTCTTTAAAATCTTCCATTTACAGATCAGGCATATGCCTGTAATCCCAGCACAAGTTTGAGGCCAGACTTAGTGAGACCCTGTCTCAAAATAAAAAGTAGAAAGGAACCAGGCTATAGTTCAGTGGTAGAGCACTTGTGGGTTCAATCCCTAGCACCAAAAAATAAAATAAAATAAGTACATAAATAAATAAAATCTTAAATCTAGAAAAATGTTTTAAGTTTAGAATGGCATAAGGCCCATATTTCTGTGGAGCTTCACATAGCTCTGCTAGTCAGCCCTCTAACTTTTACATGGATGGGGAACTCTTGAGTCAGAATGTGACTTGGGATTTCTCTTTATCTCTCTGAGAATTTTAGGCTGAACTTAAATATCAAATATTGATTTAAGTGCCTTGCCCAGCACTGTACATCCTCACCTATATTGGACATAAATGTTGTCACACAGAATAAACGCAGGCAATCAGTCATAGAAGACACTATGAGCCATTCACAATCACATATAGATGAACATATGGAGAGGCATTTGCAGTGACAGAAAACGGGAGAGCAGTGTCTGAAATTGGGGTCTCTGATTACCTCATGGCTGTGGCATGTTCAATGCCTGGGAAAGTTTCTGTGCAAAGGCACATGATGTGATAATGCCCTCCATGAGGAGGCTCTGTGCTAAAGTCTTATCAGCCTCAACCTTAATCTCAGGCACACAGCTCCTGGGAATAGAGGAACTTTCTTGCTAGACAACCACAATGTTTCACCAGTTCCATTACTCCTGAAACTTCCAACCTAACAGTAACTTTAATCAATGGTCTTTTTTGAGAGCTACACAAATATCCTAATACTGCACATTGCAACTGTGGAATATAACTGCGGAATAAGCTGCATAATGTTGCTAACTCTAACTTTCATGAATACAAAGAATAATGTTTACATAGTCTTTAATCTGATAATGAGACATATATAAAGATTGCTGGTGTAATTCTTTAGACCTGCTTCTCCATCAGAGAGCAGCACTCCATCTGACCTCAGCTGTTATCTTCAAAATCTGCATCTTTGAATCTTCATTTTTCTTATCCTCTTTTGCCTCTTGCTGGAACCTACTAGATTGTCTGTGCTAGTCTCGGGAAACACATATGTGTGAAGACTCTGGCTAAACCATTAAATCAACATATTAGACTCATAAGCAAGCACACAGGTGCACACATTACCCTCCCATGTGCAGAGGATGCCACACACATGCCAGAGTTGTGAAACAAGCCACAGGCAGCCTCACAGACTCACCTATGCATAAGCACATGTGTATACTATTTCTCAGAAGCACACTTAGATGGTGAGACAGTAAAAAAAATGTGAGTTAAAAGCCATATAGAGTCATAAATGAACTTAATGGTTATACATAAATATATAAACACATTGACCTGTAAGATCCAGAGACACAAACATACAATTTCACATTATATGGCCAACAGTCATGCCAACACACACACAAATCAGACTTGTGAGACTCAATCCCATACACATGTAGGTTCACATATATCAAAAACCCTACAGTACCAGCCAACACACAGAGTCACAATCAGACTTGTGATGAACAAATGCGCAGTTTTACTCTCCTGTCCTGGGGTTGAACACAGTGCTATTGGACACTGTTATGCACTCAACAGGAGAGGTCTGGATATAGTTATGCCAAAATGGGCAGTGGACAGAGTGCTTAAGTTGGGGTCAAGGTGGGAGTTTGATGGGTTTTGAGTCTGTACCTCCTCAACCCCAACCCAGATGGATTCTCACTAGAAATCTGGTAATAATCTGGAGTTATTCAGCCTCTCCCTGGCTGTGTGGCTCAGGACAAGTTACCCCACCTACCTCTTCAACAGTTTCTTCTCTCTTAAAGTGGGTAATAACAGCTAACAAACTTATTGAGAATTCTGCCAGTTCTTGGAAGTGTAACAGGAAGGAAAGACTCTACTGCTTGTGGAGCACCATTAAAACTCAGGAGAGAGGGCTGGGATTGTGGCTCAGTGGTAGAGCACTTGCCTAGTATGTGTGAGGCACTGGGTTCGATCATCAGCACCACATAAAAATAAATCAATAAAATAAATGTCTATCAACAACTAAAAAAAAAAAAACTCAGGAGAGAACCAGGGTCCATGGTGCATGCCTCTAATCCCAGCAACTCCAGAGGCTGAGGCAAGAGGATTGCAAGTTCAAAGCCAGCCTCAGCAAATTAGCCAGGCCCTAAGCAATTTAGTGAGACCTTGTCTTAAAAAAATTAAAAAGGGCTGGGGATGTGGCTCAGCAATTAAGTGCCCCTGGGTTCAATCCCCGTTACCAAAAAGAAAAATCAAAGAATAACAAAAACCCCAACAACTCAGAAGTCAGGCTGAGGAAGAAAAGTAAGTTTAATTCAATGCTGGCTCTGAAGAAGAGAAAGGAGACATTTTTCCTCAGATCTCTTTCTTTAGAAACTTAGGAGACAAAAAGCTTTTGTGTAGGAGAGGCACAGTGGGACAAAAGGCAGGAAATATACATATGTAGATTTAGCTTGGCTGTGTTAATCAGAAACATGTTCCAGTCTCAAGTTTCCCAGTGCCCATCCTGTCCAGGGGGCAGCCTCTCAGCCTCCATTTGGAAGTTAAAACAATTTGGAGCTTTGAATTTAATTTCAAAGGCCGGGGTGGGAGTGGGGGTTGGTCTGCTTCAGAAATTGTCTTCCTTATGGCTGTTACTATTATTAACTTTATCCTTGGGTCCCCACCCAGATTCTCCTTCAACTGCACCAGAGGGTAGACTGTGCTTAGAGCCATCTGGCCTAATATCAGGGTCTGAGATTCTCCCAAATCTGAGGGCAGGCCTCAGGGGTCTGGTTGCAAGAGGAACACCGGGGACAGGGCCCTGAGAAATCGAGAGCTGACCCACCACCTTCAGTATCCGTAGGGTCAGAGACCTGGGCCTTTCTTACAGATGGATGTGGGCAGTAGTCCAATCTGTTCCACCTGGAGACGTGGAAGAAATCACAATTCCAGTCTTCTCGGGCACTAACCACTATCTACTCCCGCAATTAGATATTTACGCATCCGCGCTCTACGGCCCCCGTTAGAGCTGTACAGCGCCTTCCACTGCCAGCGCTCCACAAGTACGGAACGCTCGGGGGTCGCCCCATAAATTCATTTCCCATAAAGCTGTGCTACAACGCCCGTCCGGGCTGGGTCTCCTAGGCAGTTCGGATACCCGGAGCCCTCTGGGAAATGGAGTCACCGCCTGTGAGCCGCAAAGGCTCTTGGGAGATGTAGTTCGCATCCGTTCTGCGCAGGCGCAATTTCCTGCGGTGGTCGCTGGGCTTCTCTTTGTGGCTGTCTCTGTCCTTTTGTAGGAGGCCGGTCTGCTCTTTCGCCCGTCCATGCGACAGTTCATCGGTCTCTCCGTCCGTCTCCAGGTCCATCTGTCGACCGTGTTCCGTGACCCTGGCTCTTGGCGGCCGAGCCCAAGGCCTGGGTCTGGTCCCCGAGCGAGTCCCGAACGCGAATTCTCCCGGAGGAGTGAGTGACGGGGTGACAGGGCGTGCGTGTGATGGAGCCTGAGTGTGAGCCCAGCTTAGATGTGGGTGTGTCTGTGGGCTGGTGTGCTGGAGCGCGAGCCCAGCGTGGGGTGCAGTGTGTTTGCTGAGCTTGTTCAGCCCAGGTACGGAATGTTGCCGCTGTGAGCACGTTTGCGCCCCAGCGAGGCTTCCCTGCAGGGCCGCTGTCCCTGAGCCCTGGGACCCTCCACTCTGGACCTAACCTGGGATCCGGGAGGCTACAGAACTGCCCACCACTCCCCCGGGGAATGCTGCGGAGGGTCGCAATGGAGACTCTGGCCCTGAAACCACAGGAGACAGGTACAGCTTTGCTCTTTTAGATTGTGGGTTTATGGATTTTTCACTTGAGGAAACTGACACTCAGAGAGGTCAGGCTATTTTCCAACAAATCCCAGCAAATCAGTCCCCCTGCTTCTTCATCGTGGGCTACCATTTGTTCTCACTCTCCAGCATGCTGATGGAAGGAAAAGAATGCCAGTATTTTCCTCCTTAATTAAAGTATCTGGGATGCTGAAAGGAAGAATTAACCCAGAAGCTGTATTAATTAAATTGTGCCAGATATTGGGGCTTGCTCCCCACAGGACCTAGCTGGGTGGTTCCTGCCTTCTCTCTGATTCCTGCCTGTGCCAGGGCTGTGTGAACTTTAGCTCAGCCATGAGGCTGGTGGCTGGACAGAATAGCCCCCTTTGACTCATTTCTTCAACCCCAGCTCTTTCCACTCAGGACCCTGCTCTTTCCCCCAAAGAAAATCCAGAGGATAAATCAGATTGGAGTCTCCTAGCAGCCAGATCTGAGGTGAGTAGTGTCTTTTCTTTCTTATTTATGAAAAGGTTGGCCCATTATTTTTCTTTCCCTGCATCTTCAGTCAGCCATGGACCTCCCCTACTCCCCACAAGGGATCTACTGTCCAGTCTTCAGGAAACTCTAGATAGTAAGAACAGGTCCATTTGAAGAAACTCCAGATGACTCCCCAGGTGTACACAAGATGAAGTCACATGAATGTTCCTTCCAGCTTAATTCAGTCCAATGAGTGGGAATGCCCAGGTACTGTTCTGGGAGCTCTGAGTAGTGGTTTTAATGAAGCCCTGAACAAATAGATGACAGCCCACATGAAATCACTTTGATCTCTTCACATATGAGTTAGGGCTTTTTGCAAGTCTGGGGAATGGTTGGGGAGTTTGCTGTGAAGGAATCAGACATGGACAGGTGGAAGCACTGGGGTAAGAGTGGTGATAGCAGGCTCATCCCTGTGTGCTTTTCTGTGCACCAGGCCCCTGGCATAAGGCTTTGAGGGAAAAATCTGGAGGTTTAGAGAATCCATGGGCTCAATTACGAATTGGTCTTGAGGCTACTTCTTTAGCCAAGTAGGGCCCAGATCCTTCCTTTTACAGCTTTTGGACTTTTCACCTCATTTTGTTCTGCCACCAAAACCACTCCTATCCCTGTGATGGAATTTAAAGGGGTGCATGGGACAGTGAAAAGTCTGCAGGATTGATGGTCCTTTGATATCTTTTTAGAATTTTGTGATTCTGTTAATCTTCCACTTTAAAAGAGTTAAGATCTGATGATAAAAAGATAGAACACTGATTTTACAGAAAGCTATAAAACAAGCTGGGCCAGGCGTGGTAGCACATGCCTATAACCCCAACGACTTAGGAGACTAAAGCAAGAGGATTGCAAGTTTGAGGCCAACTTTGGCAACTTAGGAAGACCCTGTCTCAAAAAAGGACTGAGGGGCTGAGGTTGTGGCTTAGTGTTAGAGCACTTGCCTGCATGTGTGAGGCCCTGGGTTCGATCCTCAGCACCACATAAAAATAAATAAATAAAATAAAGATATTGTGCCCAACTGCAACTAAAAAATAAATAAATAATTTTAAAAAATAAAAGGACTGAGATGTAGCCCAATTGTAGAGGGCCCCTAGGTTCAATCCCCAGTACTGCAAAATAAATAAATATTGTGAGACAAGTCTAGAGTCTGGGAAGTGTTAGAATGCTATTACTTCTATGAGATACTCAAGAGACATGACAGTCAAGTGCAGTGCATGATCCTTGATTGGGCATAGATTTTTTTAAAAAATTGATAAAAGTTTGAAAAAAGGACATTTGAAAATGGACTGTATCTTAGAAATGATCTTTGCTCTGAAATCTACTTTAATGTTAATATAACTTCCTTAGTTTTCTTTGAATTAGCATTTGCAGGTTTTTATCTACCCTTTCATTTTCAACCTATTTTTGTCTTTGTATTTAAAATGGGTTTCTCTAGCTGGCATGTAGTTGAGTCTTACTCTTTCCCTTCCCTCAGTCCAGGGATTGAACATGCTAGGCAAATGCTTTACCATTGAACTACCTCTCTAAGCCAGGTGTCATGTTTTTTATCCAATTTGACAATCTCCATCTCTTACTGTAAGTAATTTTTAGACCATTTACATTTAATATAATAATTAGTATGGTTGGATTTCTAAGCGTCATTATACTATTTACTTTTTATATATTGTATCTGTTTTGCTTCTCTATTTTTTCCCCTTCTTTGGAGGTAAACCAATACTATTTTAGTATTATTATAATATTGGTTTTCTTAGATTTCTTAAATATTTCTATGATTCATCATGGGAGGCAGTGAAAACACCAGGCATCAGTTTGATTCTTTCAAGGATCAAAGCACAAGCCTAAGGCCCTAGGCTCAATACCTAGCACTGTAAGCACACACACAATAAAACCACTGCTATCCAGATATGGTAGCACATGCCTGTAATAACAGCTTCTCAGGAGGTTGAAGCAGGAGGATCACAAATTCAAGGCCAAAGTTTGAGATTCTTAATCATGGAAAGCATAGCTCTCACTCAGGACATAGTAGAGCAGCCATGTGCAGATTTTAGGGTATGTTGTGTTATTAAAGCACCACAGTGCCTATTCAACCTAACCTAGTTCAGAATGCAGAGTAGGAGGTACATGCCAATTCTGAGCTCCCCACATACCCCAGTATCCATGGTCAGTATCTGTAACATAACTTTCCATGATTAGCAGGAGGTCAGCTGAGGTTAACATTATAATTATGAGGTCATTAGTCAATCTGTGGTTTTCTTGGAATCATGAACACAGAATCTTTCTTCCTGGATGAATGAGAAAATATGTCATTTCAGGAATCAGTGACTTTCAAGGATGTGGCTGTGGACTTTACTCAGGAGGAATGGGGTCAGTTGGACTCCCCTCAGAGGGCCCTATACAGGGATGTGATGCTGGAGAACTACCAGAACCTTCTTGCCCTTGGTAAGATGGCTCCCTGGGCATATGCTCTTGATCTTCTTCCATGTGGTAGATATTACCAAGAATCTCTTTAGCACCAGTGCTGGTACTGGACATGGCATGACTTGGAAAACTGGCCTCTGTCTCAGGTCACCTGGTCACAGGTTAAGCCACTCCAGAAGTCCCCAGAGTGTGGTATGGTAGCCAATGGCAAGGAGCATGGAGGAGATGAAGAACTACTTAGGGGAGAAAGGATAGGACTTTTAGCCCATCAGCCCTGGAGCATTCCTCAGGTGAGAATGGAGGATGTAATGTGGGGTCTTCAGAGTCATGCACTGCCACTTGGGTCCCCTGAGGCCCCCCACCACTTTAGGGCCTAGAGAACTTAATGTTTCTTGGAGATGTTATACCCTTTGCAGTCTCTTGTCCTGATTCATGAATCGTTTTTGTGAGGTTGGCTCAGTTTGAGAGCCATAGTACATCTAGCCCTGACAATTTCTTCTCTATAAGCAGGGCCTCCGGTTTGCAAGCCAGATGTCATTTCCCATCTGGAACGAGGTGAGGAGCCATGGCAAGTGCACAGCAAAGTCACTGGAAGGACTTGTTCAGGTGAGCAGATAACAAAGGTAGAAGAGAGTTGGTCCTTCCCCATGCCTTTTCTAGAACCTCCCACCATCTTCCTCCCTCCATTTTTTTCTTCCACAAGCATTGGCACTGACTGTGTGCCAGGAAACTCCTCTTAGCTCTGTCTTTGTAAAGGCTTCCATTGGTCACCTAGGCATGGGTGTCTGCTGAGGTTTTGCCCTTTCCTCCATGTCCCCTCCTCTACTTCCAATCAGTAGCAAAGAGAACCTTAATTTTAGCTTCTAAAATATATTTCTGCTTCCTGTTCATCCTCAGAGCCACAATGCTAGTCTGAAATTGCCATTATTCCTTCTGTTAATCACATGATTTCCTGCTGACCAACTTCTGCTCCAACCTCTTTACACAGCACCAGGTCCATCATCACAATGCATCTTTATGCTAGGCATGGTGGCATGCACCTGTAGTCCTTGTGACTCAAGAGGCCGAGGCAGGAGGATCCAAGTTTGAGGCTAGCCTCAGCAAATTAGTGATGCCCCAGTAATTTAGTGAGACTCTGTTTTAGTCAGCTTTATCACTGCTGCAACTAAAAGACCCAACCAGCACAACTGCAGAGGAGGAAAACGTGTATTTGGGCGTTCATGGTTTCAGAAGTCTAAGTCCATGAACAGCCAACTCCAATCCTCTGGGCTTAAGGTGAGGCAGAACATCAAGGCAGAGGGAAGCAGCTTACATGGTGATCAGGAAGCAGAGAGAGACTCCACACGCCAGTTACAAATATATATCCAGAGCTGTGCCCCAATTCCCCCCTACCACTTCAGTTACCACTCAGTTAATCCCTATAAGGGGATTAAATCACTGATTGGATTAGGACTCTTACAACCCAATCATTTCTCCTCTGAACCTTCTTGCATTATCTCACATGTAAGCTTTTGGAGGACACCTCATTTCCAAACCATAACGGACCCTGTCTCAAAATAAAAAATAAAAATGGCTTGAATGTATCTCAGTGGTAAAGCATTCCTGGGTTCAATCCCAGAACCAAAAATAAGAAGATACACTGGGTAGATCATATTGTCCTCTGTGTAGAAAGTCTTCCTTGCCCAGAACCCTATGTGTCAGGTGTCTCATCATCTAGCACCTGTCCTTGTTGCCAGAGCCACCTCTTGGCCTTCCCTCCTCCTCCTGTTTTATTCTTTTTCCTCTTAGATGCACTGTTACCTTGATGATAGGTTCTTCTCCTTTTCCTTTACCTGGCTGCCTACTGTCCATCCTTGCTGAGCCAGTTCTGCCTGCCCAGCTCCTCTGAACAGTTTTGGGGCCCCACACTGCACTACAATGCAGCTGTACCCACTGTGCTACACTGTTCTACTTGAAGCTATTGGGGAAGATAGAAATAAAATCTTGTGCCAGTCCAGAACACTTCTCTATAGATATAGAAGGGGGAAAAAACTTCATTATTGAATGAGTGTTTAATCCAATGCAGTGCCTCTCACACATATCAGTTGTCTTTGTCTTAGGAAAACTGTTGACTTTTTATATCTTGTTGACAAGCAGGAAATTACCTCCCACAGAGACAGGGAGACAGGATGCCACCCTCTTCCTCCATGTTCAGATTTCACAGTGACTCCAAGAAAGATGTATTCCAGGATATAGAGCTGGCAAGAGACTTACTGTACTTCTAAAAAGATATACATGCATCTTAGAATTAGACAAAGTATTTATATTCCCAAGTTTCTAAAGGAAATGCTAAAGAGAGGTGGGGAAGAGGGAATCCTTTTTCCCTTTTGGCATCAGGGAAATTTTAATTATTTTCAGACTCCTAAGTACACCCACCTCCTGACCTGACACATAATAGTCAATTAGTGGACTTTTCAATGATTGAATCATATCCTGATTCTTAGACTCCCTGAGCTTTGCCTCTTTCTCAGCCCCCGGTACTCATTTGAAGCTACCCTTTTTGGAACTCCCTTGGCTTCTCACTTGGCCGGTTCTTCATGCTCTCTAGCAGCTTCTTCCCATTTCCTCCTCCTCTTCCCTTTTTTTGTGTCTTGTTCAAGTAATTCATTCTGGAGGCTCTCTTTTGTCCCTCAAGCTCTTTGATTCTTTTGGTTTCTACTTCCTTTCCTGGGCTTTTCTGCATCTCCAGGTCAGCTCTTCAGTCTACTCACAGAAAATTCCATTTTCAATCTCTGACAGAGTGGGAGCCTATGCCAGAGATGAAGGAGGAATCTTCTCAACAGCAGAACTTTTTCCAAAAAAACCCATCCCTGAAGCCCATCGTGGAGCAGTTGAAGAGGACCAGCCTTCACAGCATCTGTCCAAGTGGGGCACGGGCCTGGGTAGCCCAGGAAGATACTCTTTGTAGAAATGAGGCTGCCCTGTGGAAGGGAGTGCCTACCAATCATGGGGACATCTCCACGGAGGAGAGCAACTGGGGGCATAATGAATCCAAGGAGGGTTTTCCCCTTGGGTGCACCCGCTTCACCCAGCAAAATGCCCCTACAGAAGAACACTCTCCTGCCAGGTGCACCAAGGACATTCATTCTGCTGAAGGTATAGCTAAAGACCATCCGAGGACATGCACAGGGAAAAAGTCTTTCAGGTCAAGTGAGTGTGGGAAAAACCCACCAGCAAAGAGACCAGAGGGGGCTCGGGCTGGTCTTTTCATGTGCAACGAGTGTGGGAAAACCTTCCCACAGAGTACATCTCTCACGCTACACCAGCGCTGGCACAGCCGTGAGAAGGCTTACAAATGCAATGAGTGTGGCAAGGCCTTCACGTGGAGCACCAACCTCATCGAGCACCAGCGGATCCACACAGGTGAGAAACCCTTCTTCTGCAGTGAGTGTGGGAAAGCCTTCAGCTGCCACTCGTCCCTCAATGTACACCACCGCATCCACACAGGAGAGAGGCCTTATAAGTGCAGCACCTGTGAGAAGGCCTTTAGCTGCAGCTCACTGCTCAACATGCACCTGAGAGTGCACACTGGGGAGAAGCCCTACAAGTGTGGTGAGTGTGGCAAGGCCTTCAACCAGCGGACACACCTGACCCGGCACCACCGCATCCACACTGGCGAGAAGCCCTACAAATGTAATGTGTGTGGCAAAGCCTTCACTTGCCACTCGTCCCTCACTGTGCATGAGAAAATCCACAATGGGGATAAACCGTTCAAATGCAATGAATGTGAGAAGGCCTTTAATAACCGTTCACGCCTCACTCTCCATCAAAGAATCCACACAGGAGAGAAGCCATTCAAGTGCACTGATTGTGGGAAAGGCTTCAGCTGCCATTCATACCTTATTGTGCACCAGAGGATCCACAGTGGGGAGAAGCCCTTCAAATGCAATGAGTGTGGGAAAGCCTTCAGCTCCCACTCTTACCTCATTGTACACCAGAGGATACACACTGGAGAGAAACCCTTTGATTGCAGCAAGTGCTGGAAAGCCTTCAGCTGCCACTCATCCCTCATCGTGCACCAGAGGATCCACACTGGAGAGAAGCCCTATAAATGTCATGAGTGTGGCAAAGCATTCAGCCAGAACCATTGTCTTATTAAACATCAGAAGGTTCATTCTGGAGAGAAATCCTTTAAATGTAATGAATGTGGTGAAATGTTTAACTGGAGCTCACACCTCCTAGAACACCAGAGACTGCATGATGATGAGAAGCCCTTTGCCATTCAATTCAACAGACATTTGCTGAGCACCTACTATGTGCCCGGCAGTCTTCTGGGTGCAGAGGACACTGGGGTGGGTGATGTGGACCAAATAAATGCACTGGATGTGGCAAAACTGTTATGTGTGGTGCAGCCTCCACCCGGCAGGAATTTTCCCCTAGGGAGCAAACATGGTGATTAAGGTGAGGTGCTCTTGGTCACAGAAGCCACTTCCTGAGTTACCTAACAAGGAAGGTACTGTCACTTCTTCAGGGCTCCTAGAGCCAGATTATTTGTTCCTCCAGATATAAAAACCTTACCCATCACCCCCGAGCAGATTCATAAGCCAGGAAGGGATACACTTTCCAAGAAGAAACATGGGGCCATTCAAGGATGTGCCATCATCCTGTTTTCCTTGATAGGTCTGGAGGTCATTCACAAGGGAGATCTTTCCTGCCAATAAGAAGACATGTCAACTTGGAGTCCTTGGATTGGCTCCTGACATAATTTCCATCAGGAATTTCCTCTGTATCCTGTTATATTCATACTAATCATAATAAAACAGAAGAATTACAAACACTATTACTTCCATGTGAACATTATTGTGTTTTAGGAAGGGAAAATAACCTTGGATGGTAGGGATTTGGAAAAAGGCAAATTTTCTGGATTTATGTGAGTAGCTGTACTGTGGAGTTATCTGTTAGGGACAGCTCAGTGTCCATTTAATAGGTGATGTATTTCTCAGTTCTTTTCAAAACAAAGATTTCAGTCAGGAGACATAGAAAAAGCATAAAGGGTTTATTTAGGGAAATGAAAGTATGCTAACATTCCTGGGGTATCCCAAGAGAAGAATGGTGTGGAGTTTTCCACCTGGTTATTATTTTATATTTGGTCTGGAAACCTCCCCCATGTGTTGTATACTTGGGGTGGTTATCCTGGTTTCTCTATCCCATAGCTTAACGCCTCGGTACTCTGTGCTGCTCCAAAGTTGGAAAGTCCCTTAGGTTGGTTTCACCCATTTCTCTTTAGTTTTAAGAAGACAATATCTGAGGAGGTGGTTTATAGGTAGGGTTTTTTGTCACCTAGGTGGAGTAGTTTTTTTGTCACTCAAAATGAATAAGCCCTATTTTCCTTCCCCCAATGTCAGAGTCCAGCTCCCGCAGGGGGTCTCAGGATGGTGAGGAGTCTCGAAAGCAGGTGGAGAAACAACACAGACACAAAAGTGAAGATACTGAATCCCAATCTTTACTTGTGAAGTTAATCATATATACTTTTCATAGTACTTTGTCGTTACAAAACGGGAATATTGATTATTCAAAGAAACAAAATATTACATAGCTACAATTAGATAAGAAGAATGTATCTTGGCTTATGCATAAGCAAGCATTTTTACTTTCAGTTTGCGTTTTGCTTTGAGCTGTTTCTGCTTAGTTAGCTTTTAATAATAGTTAGAAATGTCCCAGACTATTGGCCTATACCTTGACTATTCTTTCTTGACTGACTGACTAGAACTGGTGCTGTGGTTTTGGAAAGTGGTTAACTTGAAAAGAGAGGCTACTAATTTTAATCAAACAAGAGTAAGAGCACAAACCACTGTGCACAGGAACAAGAACAAGTTGCCCAGTACTAAGCACTAGTCTGTCTTCTTAATATTAATTTTTTTCTCTAGATTTTAATTTAATTTCTCAAAAACTTCCTTGACTATTTTTCCTACAAGAGGTTTCTCATTAAACATTAACAATTTGCGTTCCACAGGTGAATCATTGCATTTAGAGCAAACAGATTTATTCTTTAGAAGTAGTTGCATTAATTGGGAAAGTCATGTTTTTTCCTTCATACTTAATGGTCATATGAGAAGTCACAACTATACTTATTAAAGGAATACAAAAACAAACCAGCCCATTCCCAGAAACATACTGCGCTCCTCCAGAGGATGGACGCCTTGCGCCATCCACCTCGGTGTCCATCCACCTCAGTAGGGCCTTGCCATTGTCTGAGTCAGGGGAGGGGCACAGCACCTCAACCCCCTGCTCATGTCTAACTACTTATTCTAACATCCCTACAGCATTCTCTACACAGCCCCATATCACTGTAGCCAGGTCCTGACATGTCAACATCATGCCTAGGCATTTAGTCCCCAGTGGAAAATTAGGAGCACCCAGGCAGATGCCCAATGTGTCTGAGGAAGATAGTACATGGGGATAGATGTAGGTAGAAGCTTGCCTTCGGTGTAGTGAAGTGCTGGGTGGGCCAGGCATTCAGGCTGTGGAAGCTGCCCTGCAGGATCTCTTCTTGCAAAATTTCGCTTGAGTTAGAGGAGAAGCCCCTCTGTAGGGCCCAAGGGGGCCATTGGCTCCATGGCTGACTCACATGGGGCTATTGTACAATCCTGGGTAATAGAAGCCCTTCCCTAGCTCAGTGGTATAGTGACTCTGGCTTCAGTCCCCAGAACCATACAAAATAAATAAATTAATTTCTAAAAATTTAAAAAGAAAGAAGTCCTGAAGCTGGGGATACTCAATGGTAGCGTTCAGTGGTGAAGTATGTCTGGGTTCAACCCCCAGTACTGCAAAAACAGTGGGCTGGGAATGTAGCTCAGTGGTAGAGAGCACTTGCCTGGGTTCCTTCTCCAACACAAGAAAAAAAAATCAATATAGGAAAAAGGCCTATGAGTCAAAGTACTGAGGAAATCAAGCATAAATTTCCAGGTATCTCCACCCAGTGGAGTTACAGGTAGATGTGCTTAATTCCCTCAGTACTAATATAAGAAAACACATGCAAAGTCTGCCAACTAGAGAATCCCACCCCAGCTTAGGTTCCTGAGGTCCCTAGGGAGTGTTGGCCATATAGGCGTGCAGAGTGGAAACCTAGGGACTATCATCTTATCAGGTTATAACAGTAAAACCAAAGTTTAAGATGAAACTCAGTTGTCTGCTCCTGTTGACACGTGGGGTCTGTGTAAGCTGCATCCTCTGCAGCCAAGAAAGCCCATTGTAGTGTTAGCAGCTAAACAGCAGGGGATACCTGCCAGTGACAGTTCCAAGGATTGCAGCCAGCCAAGCTGGATTTTTCTCCACTACTAACAAGTAGCGTGTTGCATTTCTTAATGATTGGCCATTGGTGTTCTGCCAATTTCTTTTTGAGTTTTTGTCTCAGAAATTTGAAAAATGAAACAATGGGCAACAGAAGGCAAGAGAGAAAGGAGTAGGATCATGTTAAAAGATGAAAAGAGAACTCTCACAAGGTAACTGATCACAGGTTGCCACTTAAGTGTACTACTCTCAGAGGTTATATAGCTACTGGGTAGGGACACTGACCAATATCTATGCTACTCAGGGATAGGAAAGTACCAATGCTATTGGTCAAAATATATGCTAATCAGTTCTTGAAAAAGTACCCACTCAATTGGTGAAAATCTATACTAAACAGGTATTGGGAATGCTATTGGTTTGGCCATGACCTTCCAATTAGCTGTACTCTTCACCCCTTGAGTTTGAACTTGTAGCCTTCATGCAGATTCACCTTCACTTCTGTTTTTACCAATGTTCCAGAACAAAGTTTTGGCTGGAATGTTTGGAATATTTCTGGAGATTAACCTCATGGAATGGCCTTTACATTAAGACAAAAAACCAAAAAACTTTAATTGGAGTCCCATTACCTATCCTGTCTCCCCGCCCCCCACACCCACCCCACCCCGGCTCTGAAAAAGTGTCCTTAACTTCACTTGGGGGAAAGGAGCAATGACAGCTCAGGCTATTTAAGGCTGAAAAGGGGAATTGAAAAGGGATGGCAGTCAAGATCCTTCCACAGAGGCCTCTTTAAGGAGCCCCAGTAGAAGTGGGGCATCTTGTACATCAGGGCAGTCAAGTCATGGTGGCAGTTGGCAGGTGACTGAATGAGGCATGTAAAAGGCAGGGATTGTGTTAAGACAACATTAAACAAGAGTACAAAGCATTATTTTCTGTAAACAGTGCACAAAAGCAATCAGTATTATCAGTCCATGAAAACAGTGACTCATTAGACCTTGTGAGGTGGGAGTCTAACATGCTATTGATTTATAAGGTCATTTAAGACTTTGGAAACATTAGCAGAGTTATTAGAAACATATACATAATATTTACTTTCTATAATGTCTTAGGTATCCTCTTGAGCTATAGCTTTTTTATTAGTGTTACTTGCTTGGAAGGGGGATCCTCTTTAGCTGTGTTAAAGACAAGTTGGTTAAGGCTTCCATGTCACCTTACATCTTTTAGAGGGATAAATATTGGGGATAAATAATCATACCAGTGAAAAAGAGATTGAGTTTACTTATGTAAGAGGTTAGGAAGATGTATAGGTAGGTCTTGAATTGACTTAGAACAAACTTTTAACTCTAGCAGAGTCTTTTGTGATAGTTATCAGGCACTCATGTGTAAGAACCCTCCCTATATAACCTCCCAGTTTTTGCTTACTTTTGAGAAAACATTATAAGTTATATTAAAATAGACTTTGGAGGAGAGAAGGTGGTAGAATAGAGAAAGAACACACACTTTCACAGCAGTTCCTCAACACCAGACTTACAAAGCAGGAATAATTCCTCAGCAAAGTGGATAACAAAGGGAATTCGCTGAAACTTAATCCTGGGCTGTAAAAGAAACTATAAAAACACAGAAGTGCAGAAAGAATATAAGAAATAATACAGGGCTGGGGATGTGGCTCAAGCGGTAGCGCAATAGCCTGGCATGCGTGAGGCCCGGTTCGATCCTCAGCACCACATACCAACAAAGATGTTGTGTCCGCCGAGAACTAAAAAAATTAATAAATAAATATTT